GGCCTCTTTAGCTATTTGCATGAGTCATGGATACACTGTTGGCCTGGGCTCACTCCCATCTCTGCTGGTATATCTGCCACTTTATGCAGCTGAATTGCCTTGTAGTGTGTGACTTGCCTCCTGGCTTTCAGTCATCTGGGACAATCCACAATCCTTTCCATGCATGTTTAGTTCTCCCTTTCTAGCTTGGACACAAGTGTGGCTTTGCCTATCAGACCTTGCTGCAGACTCCCTAGGTTCAACCCCAGCTCCACCTGCTCAAGCACAAGAATGTACCTATTTTATCTGTGAAATATGAAGTTATGCCAAGATAGGCAGGCAGACCTAGGCCAGATCTATCTGAGCTAGGAGGGTCAGGTGCCCTGCTTGACATAGGATAGTTCTCTGTTTTGGAGAACTCACAAACAACAGATTGGAAGGTGCCCTCTATATAATGTACTCACCATTCCAAATCTTGTTTTAGTCTGAGCTATCTAGTTCAACTCTGGTTTAAAGTCAAAGAACCCAAATAAATAGGAGATTCAAGGGCAGGCACACATCTGCATTTAGATTATAGCTCCTCCTCCTCCTCCTCCTCCTCCTCCTCCTCTTCTTCTTCCCCTAAAATGGCATCTTTCTTTTTTCATATGCAAATTGGTTCCCTCTTTGCCCTTTGGTGACACATTTCCTCTGTTTTGGCAATGCTTATGTGGTGCCTCTATAAACTTACCTTCTGTGGGGTTGAAGGCAGTAACATCCATAGCTAGCAAGACAGGTCTCCTTGTTGCTCTGTTCAGTTTAACAACCAGAATTGGCCCAGGAGCTTTGAGAGAACTGAAGACGTATTACCTGGTTTGCACCACTCTATTATTTAAATGAGACTTCCTCCCTTTGCCCAGAGTTTGACACATCTGGCTGCCTTGCTGTTCCTCAGGCTGCCAGTTCAATTCCCAGGCAAGCCCAGAGCTTGGCAGAAAGAGTTGCTGTGAACACTGTGGCTGCTGCAGCCCAAATCCCAGTATAATTAACCTCCTGCTTGAAGCTGGGATATCGGCAACCCACCAACAGCACAGCCTCAGCTGGAGGAATCACAAACACATAATTAAGTAGGTGGAACAGTGTTTATTCTGCAGTTTGTGTACCATGGAGTCTTCAAGAAACTCATCTCTATTTTTCAAAGTTTTTGTTGCTTTTATGACTATTCAACATTGAGATTCTTCTGAAATCCTACTAACGTAATCTACATATAGGCAATTATTTCAAGTCTCCCTTTCCTTCACAAAAGGACTTAACTCTGTTGCATGAAGCCATTTCTAGAAAGTATCCTACATTATGAAAGTTGTTAGACAGAAATTAGCAGTTAGATTTTAATACTAGTCTTCACCAGTTTGGATCCAAGAAAATGTGTGTAGAAGAAAAAGGCACCGTTGGAGCTGTTCTGCAGTTACTTGGGAAAGAGTTACTGCAGTGCTAAATTACATAGCACTTCTTGGCCTGTGGAAGATGATAGCAGATCTCCGGTCCCTAAAGGCTGCAGTCCCAAACATGCTTACTGGGGAGAAAGTCGATTGATCTCAGTGTGGCTTGCTTTTAAGTAGGCATGTATAAGATTGTCTTATTTACTAAAGAGTATACCCCGCTGAACTCATTGGGACTAAATCCAGGTCAGCTTGCTTAGGTTTACACTGTTAGTTTCACTGTGCTTACCCAGATGGCAACTAATAAAATTTTAGACTCAAAAAACCAAAATGCCTGAAAAATCATCAAGCCACTATTCTGGTTTGTAGTGTGATTTTAAGTTGGATGTATTCATTTTCCATACGTATAGTTTGAGTTTGACTTGGAGAAAAGTGGGAGAAACATCTAGTACATTGTATAATATGCAACCCAAGGCACAATTCTTCCTACATTTTGTGCTCAGATTTAATCCAAATAAATCTAGATTGGGGTTTGGGAGTACATTTAAGGCTTGCACAATGCTTGACCAGCTAAAGGCATTTGTGATGTTTACAGCGCATCTTACTTTGTAATCTAGAAAAATGGTCAGTTCCTTCTGGCTTCCACCATTTCATATCTCCTGCAATTCCTAAAACATGGTTCTGCTTGAAGAAAGAGTAATTAGCTTATGGACCTCCAGAGGGTGCTTACTAAAACTCTCATCTGACTACAACTCTCATTCAGCCATGGCAAATGGTATCTCTAAGGCCACAAGTTACCCACCACTGCAGAACCATTTCTAGTTTAGAGCATCACTGGAAGCTGCCATTTCTTTATAGTGGTAGCCAGGTTGCTTACTCCTCACTAATGACTGGACTGATACAGTGCCCAGGCCTCTGTAGGAAAAACAAAATGGCAGCCAGTAGCTTAATTGTGGCCAGTAAAACTCAGTCCTCCAAGAAGAGGCATGAAAGTAAGAAGATGTAAACTGAAGGAGCCCAACCAGGATGTTGAGGCCCTAAATTGCCCAAGAATCCTAAATGTCAGGCCACATAGCATACTATACAAGTAAGTGCATTTATAACATATATACCACTAACTAATTCAAGTCACCAAGTGTGGATCCTTGTGTGATGAAACAGTACCACCCATGCACAAGTAAGAAGTATCAGCAGGCCTTGGGAAACCAAAGAAGGACCAAAAGAAAAAGGAAAACTCTAAGGAGGGGGATCCAAAATAGATCCATGAGGATCAGTATGCACAATGGCCAGGGAACACTGAACAAATGTTGGGAGGGGAGAACAGAACAGTGAAGGTGGAGACCGATACAGTGGAGTATCCAGGATGGCACTCTGAATAGGAGCAGCCTAAGCTAATAAAAGGGATGCAGGTGGCACAGTGGCTTAAACTGCTGTGCTGCTGGGCTGGTTGATCGAAGGTCACCAGTTCGAATTTGCACAACGGGGTGAGTTCCCATTGCTCCGTCCCAGCTCCTGCCAACCTTGTAGTTCGAAAGCATGCAAATGCAGGTAGATAAAAAGGTGGGAAGGTGTTTAATCATGCCGGCCACATGACCACAGAGACTGTCCGCAGACAAACACTGGCTCCCTCGGCTAGAAGATGGAGATGAGCACTGCCCCTTAGAGTCAGACATGACTGGACTTTAATGTCAAGGGGAAACCTTTACCTTTACCTTTAAGCTAATAAAAAGTACAACTGCCTGCTGCCAGCATCACCTGGTAGTCCCCAATTAGCACTGACTCCTGAATTCTAGGGTAATTGATGGACCCACCTTGTTCTGGCATGTGAATGCAGAGATGGCAAGGCTTTCAAGTTTCACTATAGTTTGTGGCAGATTTGTATATAGGAAGTTAAAATGAGGAAAATAATCAGGAACTTCCTCTTTCTCCCTGTTCATGGGATTCCTACTCCACACTAGCAGTTTCAGTGTAATGCTTCTTTGCAGGATTGCTTGCTTTTCTAATCAAAAGCTAGAAGTTGTGTTTCAGTTGGCTCAAAATGTTTTGTTAAAGCTCATGCTGTTTTACACATTGAACCTTGTAGGAGTCAGGAATAAGTTTTATGGTGTTCAGTGGAGCTTAGTTCAAGGTATTTATGTCGTAGACTGCAGTCATGCCCTAAAAATGTGATTGTGAGATTTTGTTAATTTTGTTTTTGTGTCTGAATGTCTCTGTTCTGTAGATGGAACTAAGGAAGCAAACTAAGGCAGCAGTCAGGAAAAAAATTCTTTGAAACTCCCTTGTCATGGCTCCTAGCAGAAAAGTGTACCAGTGTTAAGAGTGATAGATCTCCTCTTTCAATAGTGATATGTGGGTCCTGGAGTGTGGGGAGAGATTTTTGGACTCATGTTGAATAAATTCTCTCTCCTGCTCTGAAGCAACACAGCTGTTGCTGCTTCGGCCCAGGAGTCCTGCATCCTAGCGTCTGAGGAACAGACAGGGTTCTCCTTGTTCTGCCTGCAGGAGGTCAGGAGAAGCAAGCCAGAGCCCAAATTTTTGGGCAGGCCACAAAGGAGCATTCTGGCATTCATAAGCTCCCACTGGGCCTCATTACAGCTATGTGTATCTAAGAAGCAAACCATCCTAAATCCTAGCCCAGGCTAGTAGGATGCTGTTAGCATTGCAAGAGGATGACTTGCCACTGGTATTCCAGATGCATGGGTGATCACTTCCACTATTCTCAGTGCTCAGAGGTAAGTGCCATTGCTTACGTAGGCAAGATGACACCATCCAAATGCAAAAGAGAGGGATCAACAAGCTTTGGCAACAGGTACATGCTTGCTCCTCAGCAATGTTCACATTGAACTTTGGTAGGTTACCATACCCAAACCAGAGGAATCTCCTCAGATTGAAAGAGCATAGAAAGAAATAGGGAAATGAGTTCAAGCAAGCATTCTACACTTAAAAAGTGGCCTGAAATGATTGTGTATAAATAAATGTTCTGGACATTCTGGCTAGGAGAGGAAAATCAGTGAGAATTTCAAGAGGCAATGGGGAGGGTCCATAGATAATTTATCCAGTGGCAATAAGTCTCTGTCCTGTAAACTCATCTCACTCTTGCCTGTTTTATATCTTACGTAACTACACACTTTTGCTGGCAGCTTCCTGGGCACTTGTTTGCTCTACTCAAAACCCTAGTTTGCAGTTTGGAAGAGATGCACACAACTGGGTTTGTCCCTTTAAACTTGGCTGTTAGGTTGTCTGCCTGCCGTTTCCTCCCTGGGGGGGGGGGGGCTCTGCTCTCAGCTGCTTTTCCCATAGCTAAATCTGAGAGAGAGTGTGTGTGTGCAGCAGGGGTGGGGGGAGACCAAGCCTTCTCCTCTGTGAACAAGTAACTAGTCCTTAGCTGTCATGTTATTTTCACGAACCTGTTTGTGTACCCTCCGACAGTAAGGCAGGTGAAACACTGGCACAGCTTTATCTGGTGGCTTCTGCACAGAAGGGCTTGGTTTGTGTATGCATTTCTCTAAAATATAAACCTGAACATCCTTGCTCCTTCCAGCCTCTCTCTGACAGGCAATTTCTCTTCTCTCCCCCACCTCCCCACCACCAATCTTTTCTAAGGAAAAAAGGAAAAGGCAGACAGAAATAGAAGGCAAAAGACAACAGCTGGAGGACCAGATACTTCAACTGCAGCATTTCAAGGTAAGGACTGAGGAGGGTGGTTTGACCAGGGTTGGTTGTTATTAGACATGCAGATTGCACGCTGGATGGCTGGGAAGAACCTGCTCCGACATGAAGCAGCCTGCCCTGCCGGAGCCTGTCTCTTCCAGCTAATCACATCCTCCTGAGGTCTCTTGTCTCTGTGTGTGATTCTCAGCCACAGTGCCATGTTGCTGAATTGAGGATGGCAACAGGGGGCACATAGAGCATGCATCGGTATTGCTGCAAATGCTGTGAGTCACTGCATCCCCACAAAAAGCAAGAGATGGGGATTTGGGTGTGTTTGCTGCATCGCCTGAATGGGAGTTTCCCACCCTCCCTCCGGCTACACAATTGCTCAAGCTATTCTGTCTTTTATTACCGTAGTAGTTAATCTTTATGCTGGTGTGTGTTGCTGTGCATAATATTGCATACCTATTGAACTGAAATAGACATTCAGTACTCTGCAGCTTAGGCAGCCGTCTGCTGTGCTGATACATGCAGAATAAAGGTTCAAAACATTGTGTACCATGGTGGCATATGGTACATATTACAATTTGTAAACCGTTGTGAGGGTTTTAATGAATGACAGTATAGAAAAACTTTAAATAAATAAATAAATAAATAGATAGATAGATAAATTTACCAAGATGTCATGCTTGCTTGGATGTCACCAATCTGAGTTTGCTTGAACGGCAGATGCCCCTTGGGGAGGAGCCACAACCCAGTGCCTGTGTGCATGCCTTGCACACAGAAAGTCCCAGGTTCGATTCTTGGCAACGCTACAAATGGGGGCATGACTGCCTGAAACCTGGAGAAAGCTCTCTGCCCAAGTCCTTGGAAAGCTATTGTTAGAGCAGACAATTAGATTGACTATGTAAGGGGCATCCTGCTGTGTTTGAACACACACGCACACACCTCAGTGCTTTCTCCTACACACCTTTGTATTGAATGCAAACAAATCCTGGTATGGGTATTTGATGATGTGTTCTGGTTGAAAACTGAACAAGTTTCAACCTGCCCAGCATCTGGCAGCTCCACACAAGCTGCTGTGAGCTTCCCAAAGGAAGTGTAGCATAGAAGTGTAAATATATGAATACATAGGTGTTACATAAGCACACGGGGAAAGTGCGGGACTTGTGCAACACTTGCATAGCACATGTATTTATGTATGCAGAATATAGCCAAAGCTATATGTATTCTGGGCTAAAAATATGGAAATGTTGGGCTAAAACAACCACATTTTGCACCAAGGGATGCCAAATAACAGTAAGTGCATAAATCATAGAAATAAGGAATGCTTTCACACCTGCCTTTTCCAGCACTGATTCTTCAGTTCTGCTTGTGCCTTGGGAGGCTTAATGGATGCTGGGCTCTCTCAAACTGGAAAAGAACAGCAGCAGGAAGCTCTTGACTGCATCCAGTCAAGCCAATCCATTCTACATGTCCCAGATTGGTCCAAGATACTATACAAGCTGTTGTAAGCCCATCCTTGACCATTAGGAGACTTAAATGGGTTTGAAGGTTGTTTAAGGAATGTACCACCTCCTGGGGCAAATGCTCTTTTCCCTTGTTTCTTGTATCTGTACCAATACAATTTTACAGAGGTTTTGTCACTATAAAAAATTTAGGCTTAGGTCCTGGACACCTGAAAGAGCGCCTGCTTCCATATGTGCCTTCCCACTCCCTAAGATTTGAGGCAGAGGACCTTCTCTGGGAGCTCCCTTTGAAGGAGATTGGGAGGGTGGTTACCTGGAGAAGGGCCTTCTCTGCAGTGATGCCCCAATTATGGAATGTGCTCCCCAGAGAGCGTCGCCTGGTGCCCACACTTTGTTCCTTTCGGCACCAGGAGAAAACCTTTTTATTTTCCCGTTACGTTAATGTTTAATAGGTTTTTATCTGGGTTTTATTATACTGGAATTATTGGATGCTGTGCACCATTTCAATTTATCTTGTTTTTATTTTAAAACCATCCTGAGACATTAGTAGTTGGACGGTATATAAAAGCTTTAAATAAATGACTATCCCACAGGTAAAAGTGGGATATACACCACAGGTCAAAACCATCTTCATCCCCCTGGAAATGACTGGCTCTCTACAACCTAATTCAGCCATTTCTCTACCTTGAAATGTTTCAACGTGCATGGTCCTAGTATATTTAAAAATACATCTACAGTCATAAGGGTGAGAAACGTGGGGCTTAAAAATAAATATAAACAGGGTTTTTTCTACATTCTGAGCTGTGTTGGACTTCTGTGGAATGATATAATACTTGGCAGGTATAATGCTGTTCAAAGTTCTTTACATACATGGTCTTTACAGCAATCCTATATGGCATTGATGGCGAATCTTATAGAGACCGAGTATACAAACTACAACTCAGAACCCACTTATTTATCGCAAAGTGCCAACACTTCAATAAGATCTGAATTTGCTGACCACCAGCACAAGGGGGCAACGTTCCTCTGACCCCCAGCTTTTGGCCAGCCCTGAAAAAGATATCCGAGTGTATTTCCTACCTGAGTGTATTTCCTACCTTTCCTACCTTCTGCTAAAATCACAGTCCGAATAAATCCCTGGCAACTCACTGACTGGCCATGCTAAAGCTCATCGAGTCATGGCTAATGAGTGATGTTGCCTGGCGCCCTTAATCTTTCCAAGTATCCGCATGGCTGCTGGGGCGATTGTGTGTCAACAGAGAGGGCTCTGCGTGCCTCTTTGGGCACGCGTGCCATAGGTTCGCCATCACTGCTATAGGGTATTTCAGTATTAGCACCGTCTTTCAGTTACAGGGGCTGAAACAAAGTTGCTCAAGGCCAATCTTAAAGTTTATAAGAGGGACAAGAATCAAATCAAAGACTTCATGCTCCATATCTCAGGCTTTGCACTACTCTTGGTCCTAGCATAACCAGTATATGACATGGCAAATGTATTTAGCCCTGAATGTCATCTTTGAACCCTTGCGAGGGCCAAAGTTTAGATAATTCTACACAGGGAACTTTTTACTTTTACCTCTAAATCTTCACCTTTTATACCGTGTTCTCTATTTTAATGGCTACCTTTGCTGTTGGTGCTTTGAGCAGGGGTTGTGCTTACTTAAGTAGTCACAATACATTTAAATCTGTGCAATTGATGACAAGCTAAGCTATCGCTCTCTCATCCCCATAGGTCTTTTGGTGACATAAATTGATTTCTGTGTTATCGGTTACTAACCTGATTGCATTCTGTGGTGGTACAACAGGATTTGCCATTTCACTCAGTCTACTATGAGACCCAGGAGATATTTCTCTGTCTTTCTGGCTGCTACTTCAGAAGGCAAAACGCAAGGGCACACAACCCCCTGCTCTATGGCTGAGGTGATAATTTATGCCTCAGTTCCTTCACTGCATTTTATGTTGCAGGCTGGTTGTTTTGTTTATAGTGTTTTGGTTCTTGCCAAGCAGTCTGGCATCAAGCTTTCTATGAAATTCTTTTGTCTAGCCATCTCGGAGCAATCGATTCCCACCCACAATGCTAGCACATACAAAAGGATGAATTGGTGCGCACAGCACTAGTTATAACCATGGATATGCCATCGTTTATCAGGAGATGAGAACGGGAATGTCATTAGGTCAGATCTGCTGCAGATCTAATTTGGCACAGCTTCCTTAACTTTAATGAGCATTTGCCAAATCCTATCGTTCAATAAGAGCTGTCTTGTGCTTTGTGTAGTATTTGGGCTATTTCACAAATTGCAAAGGGGGGAGCATGTGTGTGCAGATGCAAAGCAGGTTATGTGTGCTGTCTTCTCTGCTCCCTTTGCCTACCTACCCTGGCAACACCAAGGCTGACTCCTTAAAGTATTCCCATTTTCAGATCAAAAATCCCTGTTCAAGACCTGTACCTGGGTCCTGCAGAACATCAGAGAGGGATTCAGCAGGTTCCTTTTATGGAGATGTGGTTAATGAAAGGAAGTGACGAAGTCTTAAATGTCAACATCAACAATGGATAAAAGAAGACCCTGATTTTCATAAAACATGTATTTGCTGCTTGATAGGTATAAATGCAGATTAGAAAAAATTAATTGAAATACAAATACAACACATCTGGCCTTGATAGGGAAGACTGTGACCAGGGAACCTGTTACGCTTGCAGTTCAGGTCCTGATTATGGAATAAGCCACATTGGGGCACCTGCTGCTGTCTCGTCTTACCTTTAAACTGGGAGTGGGTAATGGGGAATATCTACAATCTGAACAGTGTCCTTTGACAGCCCTGCAAATAGAGGACTGTCCTCTGCAAATTAGGACACATGGCCATCCTATTATCTAAATATTTAATTGGTCAAAGAAGGTCAGGTGGCAAGAGCTGTGGGGTGAGGCCCGCTTCTCTGGTCCAGGCAAGTTTTCAGCTTGGTTTTGCTCACTGCAAGTATGGTTGCCTGAGCTTTGTTCAATTTGGGACATGGTTTTGAATGTTTGGATCAATAGTAACACACAATAGTGATACAAAAATCTTTCTTGAGGTACAACTTTGCTACCTCATGACACTCTAAAGGGGAGGGTTCTTGAACACCAGGTCTATTGTCCTAGTTTGGTCCCAGAAGGTTATTCCCCTTTCCTACATTGCCAGTAGTCGTTATTTGTTTTTCGGCGCCAGGCAAAGTCCTTTTTATTCAAATGCTATTTTAACTGTTAATATTATTTATTTATTTTATTTTTCGAGCCAGGTTGACTCATATTATATTATATTGTTTTATTCTGTCCTTATTTATTTATTATTGTGAGCCGCCCCAAGGCTTCGGCGAATGGGCGGCATAGAAGCCGTCTAAATAAATAAATACATACATACATAGTCCTTGGATCACTGATTGTGTGTCTTTTGTGGCTTCCTGGCTTTTGTGCAGTTTTTCCTCCATTCTGAAAGGTTGAAATGCCTCTCCTAAGGGCCTGTTACTGGTAATAAATAGGTAAGCTAGGGTGTGATAGTGTTAGGGGAATTTGGGGCTTGCTCCCTTTGCCTTTG